CCACCCCACCCTCCAAGGAGCCCCCAACCCCCCCTCTGAGCCCCATCAGGATGGGACCAGCTTTGCAGATGGCTGGTGAACTGGTGTTTTGGGGGACCAGGCATCGGGCACCCCACAGCCGCTCCCACCCTCTTGATTTGCCTCCAACACTGAATGGAAAGAGCCATTAAAGACCATTTTGGGTTTTTTTCCAGCCTCTAATCCTTTCTTTTCCCCTCCGCTGAGCTGTGGCCATGCCCTGGCCAGCATCATTTCTTTCCCTCCCGTTCCCCCTCCACCTCCCAGGGATTATCCATCATCCCCCCCACCCCCTCACCTTCTTCTTAGCGATGATAAATCATGATGGCTTGAGACATCCACCCGAAAGGAGACGGCAGCTCGGGAAGCCCCCAGGGCTGGGAAATATCCCCCCACAACCAGGAGGCACCAGTGACTTCCAGGGCAGCGTGGAGATGCTGGAGCCACCCCAGTGCCACCCCTTTCCTGGAAAAGCTTCCATCAATCGCACATCGCTGTCACCGGGTTTTGGGGCACGATCGCCCTGGTTTTGCCCCAAAATGTTGTTTTGCAGTCTGAAGGCAGCAGCGTCTCTGCAGGGTCCTGCTTCTGGAGCTGCATTTTGCTCTGTCTTCCCCGGCCAGCAGGATGGAGAGGAGATGAGAGCTGGGTGGTGGCTCACGGATCCTGTGCAAGGTTGTATCTCAAAGCAGGAGGGGTTTGAAGCAGGAGCAGAGGAACACGGGGTCTTCTGAGGCTCAGTTTCAGCTGGAAGAAGCATCGAGGTGGGATTTGATACAGCATCCCACCGTTTCCAAAGCAACAGCCAAGGAAGCCCCATCAGCGACGTGGCTGATCATCCTTCAGAGGTAGAAACAGGAGATCCTGAAGTTACAGACACACCTGCACCAGCATCACAGCTGCCAGGGCAGGACAGGGACCAGCTGATGGAGATTGGTCTGCAAGATGTGGATGAATCACCTCCGTCCTGGTCCCCAGAATCATCTAGGGATGGCACAAACTCATGGTGGCACCGTTAACGCCAACCCAAGATCGGAAGGAGCCTCCCTAGGTAGTTTTGGCACTGGGCGTGGAGGAGCGTTGGCTGGTGTTTGATGAGGACTCCCAGAACACCTCAAGCAGAAGCCATTTCCATGAGAAATCAGCCCACAGCGTGATGGCTGAGGACCCTGGGATGTTCATGGGGCTGTTTTGTGGGTGAGCGATAGGACCACTGATGGTCTTCAGCCTGAGACCTGGGGTATTTCCTCTTGAAGCCTATTAGCTGGTACTCGTCAGAGTGTTACCTCCATGTGATCCACCACCTTTCATCTCCAGCACGGCGCACTGTCAGAACACTGTCCATCAGCCGTAGGCCTTGCCAAAGCCTTGGAGATCCTGGGACAGGATCTTAGCTCAGCACAGGATGCCCTCAGTGTCTCCACCAGGACTCACGTAGGTGTCCTGGCATACAAGACCCTCATCATCACCTCACTTTGGGACAACTATTTTTCTTTTGACTTTTTGTCTGAAGAACCTGGCTGCCCTTGGAGATGGAAATAGCCAATTGCTGTAGAGCCACGTGCTTGAGCTGCAGCCCTGAGACACCACGTTGGGACTTGTAGCACCTCTCACCTGGTGAAGTTAATGAACGCATGGTTCCAATGGTTTTGGTCTTGCAGACGGCTTGTAGCAACGAGACGCACCAACATGCTTCAACATGAGGTCCCCTAGTTGGTATTAAACGTTTAAAAGAGCCCACCACGAAGATAATGCTGGGATGGAAACACTCCAAGGCAAGGTCCCTTCTGGGCCCTCCAGCCCTGGTTTCTTTAGGTGTTTAATTAGTTTGGTTCTTCTACCATATTCTCATGGATGGTTTCCCCTGGGTGCTGGTTTTGGTGGTACCAGCCCACTCAGGCTATCACTCCACAGCCAGGTCTGTGTCCTGCCGTGGTGGATGAGGCCTCTTGGGAAGGGATGAGACACAAATGCAGTGGGATGGACCCATGGGTGCTGAGGAAGCCTGATGGCACCTCTCGATGAGGCTACTCTTGATGGCCTTTGGAGGGCCGTGGCGATCAGGGTGGGTTCCTGGGGGCTGGGAGGAGGCAGATGTCACACATGTCTTTGACGAAGGCCGGGACGCTATGGGCTGGTCAGCCTCACCTCGATGCCTGGGGAGGTGGTGGAGCACGAGCTCCTGCAAAACATTTCCAAACGTATGAAGGACAAGAAGGTCATCGGGAGCAGCCAGCATGGATTTATGAAGGGGAAATCACGCTTGACCAATGTGATAACTTCCTGCAGCGAGACATCCAGCTCGTCCTGACTTTCATCATGTCTCCCGTGACGTCCTCATAGACAACCTGCTGAAGCACGGGGTAGATGAATTGGCGGTGAGGTGGACTGAAACCTGGAGGACCTTGACATCTTCATTAATGACCGGGATGATGTGGCAGACGCACCCTCAGCGATTAGCAGATGATGCAGGGTTGGAAGGTGGGGGTGGTAGCCCACAGGGTCATGCTGCCATCCAGAGGAACCTTGCCAGGCTGGAGAAATGGGCTGGTAGGAACCTCACGGAGTTCAGCAAGGAGAAAAGTGAAGTCCTGCCCCTGGGGAGGAACAACCCCAGGCACCAGGACATGCCATGGGCCCTTCCCACCTCCGCCGTCCCACGACTTGGTGACTTTTGGGCTCAGCTGAAGGACCCAGCCAGCGCGGAACACAGGGTGGAGGGATGGGACCACGGATGCCAACGGGGAAGTGTGGAGCATGTCCAGAGCTTGTCTAGGGAGGGTTGGGAGAGGGATGTTGCGCAGCTGCCACGGCTCCTCAGCATCTCCACCACCTCTGGGAGCCCAGGAAGGGGTTTTGGGAGGGGACAGTTCACCAAATGAGGCCAGGCAAGGGCTGCCGAGCTGCCAGCATCTTTCCATGGGTGTCTTCCAACACTGGAAGCGGGGGGTTGGCCGAGCACCAGTGTCCCACAGTCCCGTAGCGGGGGGCCCAACACCCACCTGAGGCCCATCCAACCCCGTGTCTCCCGCGTAGGTCTGCATCCTGGAGTGCGAAGGCGAAGCCGTGCCGCGGGCCACCTGGGAGCTGTGCGCCGCC